GTTGGAAAGGGAGGACAGGAGACGTCAGTAGCAGCTGGGTTCGTTTGATTCGAATATACCCTGAAGACGGAAGCAGCAGGCACCTTAGTGACAATGGTAAAATCTACAGAAGTACACGACGCCACATTCAAGATAATATCTTCGGTTGTGTAAGGAGTCAAGGGCGGCCGGCGCGTAGGGCTGACAACCTGAACACCATTTGTGTGCTGATTTCCTATAGAATGTTGGAGCCTTGGAGTCTCACAACCTTATGGGTCTCCACGGCCTCTTACGGCGACAGCTAATATCTTTTAGGCTATCCCTGTAACAGGCCGTGGAGGCCCGTAGGGTCGTGAGACGTTGAGGCTAACACATTTTCTAGAAAATCTGCTCATAGATGGCGGTGAGATTGTCAGCCGTACGCGCCGGCCGCCGGACAATAAACTAGAATACAGCGAAATGGTACATCAGAAGCTAACCGGTGACTCTGCAAACAGCGGCCGTTGCTAGGTAATGCCCTCAACATACACACACGCAACAATAGAACGAGGTTATGCAATCCGAGTCTGAGCCACATCTGCGTAAACGCGTTCACGCGGAATCGAACACGCACGCAACAATAGAAAAACGGTGTTTTCGATGTGGTCCGTGCCGAGGAATCNTTGTCAGCCGTACGCGCCGGCCGCCGGACAATAAACTAGAATACAGCGAAATGGTACATCAGAAGCTAACCGGTGACTCTGCAAACAGCGGCCGTTGCTAGGTAATGCCCTCAACATACACACACGCAACAACAGAACGAGGTTATGCAATCCGAGTCTGAGCCACAGCTGCGTAAACGCGTTCACGCGGAATCGAACACGAACGCAACAATAGAAAAACGGTGTTTCCGATGTGGTCCGTGCCGAGGAATCACCTTGAAGACAAATTATCAGTGGTCAGTTGAAAGCAGCCTGTGAAAAGGAGGCTAGGAGGTTGGTGTGAAATGGTCACCNTCTGGTCATGAGCCCCACATGGGGCTCGAAACCAAGACTTACTGACTGACTGGTCGTCAGTCGCAAGGTGACTTTGACTTTGAGTGGTCAGTTGAAAGCAGCCTGTGAAAAGGAGACTAGGAGGTTGGTGTGAAATGGCCACTAGCCTGGGACCCAGTCAGTTGAGGGTTGGCTGTTCAGTGGAGTTCTGTACGGAAGAAAAAAGTTAGTTGCGAGAGTGCGGCTGTGAAAAGAAGACTTTATGTGTGATATTTGGGGCGTCTAATTCAGTGAGACTGTTATAGTTCTTGTGTTAAATCTGTTGCCAGGAAACGGTTAGTGGAGACTGTAACAAACTGAGAACACTAGTCTGTGTGTGTCAGTGTTCTGTAAAGTGTGGTTTCGAGTGGTGTGTATAAGTGGTCAATAAATCCAATATCCAATCCATGCCCCGTCTATAGTCACACCTCTAAATCCTGACATTATGTTAAGTAAACTCTTCTCAGATTCGCTGCTTCAGTTCTGTGAAGCTGTAAAAAGTAGAAGTTTATACAAGTCACAACGTGCGTATGTCGACATGTTTAGACTGCGCTATTCGTTTCATCTTCTACATTTTGTGTTTTACTGAACTGCCGTTAAACCGGCCGCAAGTAAGCATAATAGACAGCAAGAAACGCCATTTGGGACGTTGTGAACTGCATCACAAAGTACACTCTTTCCAGTCTTGTCTCAGTAAACTTACAAGCTAGTCGGCAAAACTGTAATTAATCACAATAATTAACTCAGTTCTTATTTTTCCTTAAAATCTGACAACTTATATATTAAAATCATTCNAAACTGGATCTGTTTCCGTCCTCAGGTGAAGGAAAACCCTATTCTGCTGGGTCCGTTAGAAAGAGCTAGCCTCAATCACTGGGACTCAGTTTTTATTTTTCCTTAAAATCTGACAATCTATATATTAAAATCATTATGAAGAATGGAACTTTATACTATAAAAACGTGAATGAAACGAATGAATGAAAACAAGTTTCATACAATCCAAATACCAAGAACAATCCCTAACTAGAGGAAGAGTTTCAAATTCGTTCTTATTTCACTCATATTTTGTTGCACTCTGTTGCGTGAATCACTATACACAATACGTGTATTACTGTATCCACTGTCAACACAACTCGGTCTCCAGCAGAGTGGGTTCATGTCTAAGACGACATCTTTCGGAACAGCTGCGCCATCTTCTGGTCTTGTTCATAGCTACAGTTAACGTATCATACACTTAGCGTAGACTTACGTATAAGCCGAGTGGATTCATTGGTGTGTAATATAGGTAGGTCACCCAGAAAATAATGCAACAAATATTTTTTATCATTCACAATTTATTTTATTATAACGTGACGGATTTGCTCAAAGCTTTCAGCGATGGGGCCAGAAAAAAACCACTGCTAGGTAAACCCATTCATAACGCGGGCAACAATAGAATAATTGCCGTTTCTATAACAATAGAGTAAAATGATCACTGCTGGGCAAGAGCGTGGTACACAACTTTCGCTTCAGCACGTGACAACAATAGGGAGTCCACTGCTAAGCAACAGCGAGGTAAAGAAACTTCATCAACAATACAGGCTGATTTTCGTTGGATCTGTGCAAAGTGGTTATAAATGAAGCGAATTCAGAAGCTATAGTCCATTCGCGGAAACGAGACAGTCAGCGTAAACACAGCAAGCCCCGAGTCGCCACAGCTGACAGCAAGGAGTGGACAAAGCGCGCAGTTACTCAGTGTACTCACTCCATTCGGACGCACGTTAACCTGCATTCAACTGAAGAGTGAACATTGGACGCCTCTGCAACGAAACACGCATCACGTGATCGCTGCATGATTTCATTCAAAGAGCGAAGGAGACACCCCGTGCATTTGTTTACGAGGACTCTCTCGTCTACGCGAATGGACTGTAGTAATAGTTGAGCGAGTATCAGGACGAGAATGGAGCATGTCATAGGGAATTCTGAAGATTAACGGTAGCATTATAATTGATTGTAATTGTAAATAAGTGCCAATAAATCCAATCATCCAATCCAGAACCCACTATCAGTCATACTAACACCTCATATGTGACGATAACTACAAATATGTCACACTGCTACCTGAATCTCCGGCTAACTAAACCTATTTTTCAACGTAGTCTCCTTCTGGCCTTACGCCACGGAAGTACGAGAGCCTGTATGTCTTCGTGGTATCACTCTGCAGGTCTATACCGCAACCGGCTGTTTACTATACTTCGGAAATGCCTTCCTCCACCAACCTGTTTGTTAAGCTTGGTGGCACTGTCATTTCAGCGCTCCTCTCGTATAACTTCTCTTCGTGACTGCGCTGTCTAGAGAGACACTGACTGCAATAACGGAAGTACAGCTAAGGCATTTAGCTAATTCACCTGCAGATCATCACTAGGGTTCTATCCTTATTTAGGCCGCGCCATAGCTCAAGCGGTTAGTCGCTGGCTTCCCACTGCGTCGGCCCGGGTTCGATCCCGGGTCTGGTCAAGTGGGATTTGTGGTGGACAAAGTGGCGATGGGGCAGGTTTTCTCCGAGTACTTCGGTTTCCCTGCCAATCTTCATTCCACCAATTGCTCCACAATCACCCTCACCTATCATCTGGGGCTGGAACAATAGGCCAGAAGTGGCCGCAGTATAAGGGACTTAGTCCCACCCCACTAGCAACAAAAAAATAGGGGATTACGTTAAGGATATTTGCAGACTATGCGTGCTATTACACCAGAAAAAGGCAATGTCTACAATTCTTATCACCTTGTTACTTTTACACTTATAGGTGGTTTACGTTCAGACAAAACTAAACGACTGATACTGGAATGACCACAACGTTCAGTCCAGTCCCTCTGCAACATTTTCCTCTTATAAACATCACTGAAAGTATATACACTGTACAACTAACGCTGCAAGCTGTAAATCATATCCAAAATAAAGACCTAAATTATCTTTCAGCTATTTAAGCCGAATTGCATTCGCTTCCATTAACAAGCATTCCGTCAGTTTCATTAAAATGAAAGCATTAATGCAGAGGTTTCAAGATTACCATATTATTATCCTATTATTCAACCCAGAGAATTCCTTTTAATATTTACACATTCCCAAATAAACCCTGTTTACAGACCAGTTTTACTTGTGATTAAAATGCTTCGGTAAAGTACATTTCGAGCAATTATGTATAAGGAAATTTGATACAGCACAACAGTCAAACATTCGTCCATTCATTCCTTTCTTTTGCCAGTGCACAATATAATCTCAAACAATCACGATGTTTCACATCTCAGAAACAACTTTACAGTGGTCAACTTCAAAATCACGTATTTCAGCAACATACGAAAGGAGTACTCCAGTCTGGGTATATGCATTATTTGTATTGGCACAGATAGGCGGCACTGCAAGTCGTTTCGTTTTGGTTAAAGAAACATAATGTTTTGGAAACAGCCACTTTCAAAGGACCTGTGTTTCTTCGTCCTCAAAGAGATGACGGCCAATGTCCAACATATGTGACAGTTTTACGAAATATCACATGTCTTCGGGCTCAGAGGAACTCTGGTTTATTCAGATCACCTAGTGCTGATGGGGCAGCGAAACACAGAAGGTTACGACGGGCTGCGTATGTAGCCAGACTGGGGATACAAGGAAGTATAAAATATCACATAAGGGTGGGGATTAGAGAAATAGGTTCTCAGGTCTTTCAGGATAGTGCCAAGTCGTGGTTTTTGTATCAGTAACGTCGAACCTTCAGGTTCTGCTATCACAGACTTGGTTAAGACAATGTGTTCTTAAAAATCGCAAATACTTTCTGATAAGAGCATTACAAATTAAATAATACAAAGACACGATACAACAAACCAGTCTCTCTTTATGAAATAGGGTAAACAGGCTAGAAAACAAAACAAATATTAATAAATAAAATACAAAATATCATTTGAAGCGCCATTGTAAAAGTGTTTAGAATCAATGAAACATCGTGTTCCTCAGGAGGCAAGCCCCATGTCTGCACTTACCTGAGTGGTAGCGACTCTCATGGCGCGTCAGGCGACGATTCCCTCGCCTTCGTGCCCTTGTTCCGGGGCTGGAGGACCCCCCTTGGGGCCCCGTTGATGGAAGTCCTGAGATACTACGAACTGCAAGAACAGACACACAAGCGTGCTACTACATCACAACAGCACACAGACGGACATTCCCACTCCAGTCACATGCTGCCCTCCCACATCCTTCCCAGTCGTCCTGAGCTGCAAGGACGGGCTATCCCGAGAAGTCAGCTACTTCCCACACAGGTCCTCTCAGTGTTCAATTAAAACGGACTTTTTATTTGATTTTGCATGGAACTGTGCAATATGTATTATACATCTTACTGTTCTGACCGGCCGTCCTTTTCTTCGCTGATAGTGATAAACCTGGGAGCCGAATTCATTCAGGGAATATACAAGAACTGTCAAGAGCGTTTACAGGGTTGAGACATTTTGTAGCCTGTTATATACTCACATATACCAATTTCAATCAATTACGAATTTTTTATTTCTACTGAAATAAGAATATGCAAATCTGCATTGAATAATTTTTCCATTTTGCACAAAGTCTTCTCTCCAGCGTGTTATTTTGGAAGAAATAAGTCCAAATCATTCAATGTTATTAGACCATATCGAACATAATAAAACGAAAACAAACATGTTAATTAAATATTAAATAACATCTACTCATTGCAAATGGTGAAATGCATTATGCGTTATAAAGTCATACGGGAAGAAGTTCAAGGCATTTAACTGTTGAAGCAGAAACGCAGAATATATTCTTGTACCCTTGAAAACAAATATGGCTGGTTCTGGGCTAAAGAGGCATATTCAGTATTCCAGGTGAGTGACATGAGAACACAAAGTACTTTTCATTGTATTTTTAGATAACGTTGAAACTGAAACCTAATCTAACTGTTCCAATTCGACACGGATACTTTATACAACGCAGAAAACTATGTCGTCAACGTGTTTATAAAACTATCCGCAACGTAGCTGCAAAGAGAATAGCATACCTCAAAAGTAACAATTTTGCACTATGGGTGTATTGATTTGTAGTACCATTCTGTTCCTCAGACTAATCAATAAAGGCGGAAGTTCGCTGTCCCAGAGCGTATCGATAACCCCTTCTCTCTCTCACATCGACCTGTTATAAAGGCCCTGGTGGGGTGAAAGATCCAAGCATCCGTGGGTGTGCAAGGTCCAGAAGCATCCCAACATGCAGGCACGTGCTCAAAGAAAACAAACAAGCATATGCAACAAGCAAGAAACACGCAACATGCAACCTCTAGAGACGCCGTGAGCTACGGATAAGAACACCATCTTCCACAAGGATAGAATGCACAAAGTTGTTACAACAGCAGATACAGAAATGTTCCAACAACAGTTTTTCTGTAAATTCAGTGTTAAAACGTAATGCAAAAGAAGTGGCTAGGGATCTATGTTTTTTTCCCTGAATGGAGACGATCTGTCGCCTATTTAAATCCACCTTCATTACAAACAAACGGATCTTCTGCTAGCGATATCGGATGCAGAGATGTGACAGCAACTAATAATCATACGGATACAATGAAGCGTTAAGATCTCGAAATAAAACTATAAAACTTTATCAGTCCCCTTTACTGAATGAAATCAAGAACTGTGCACCTTCATTCTGTTCCACCGTTCATTACTCGTTAGACAGTTTACCGTTCCTAGCCACGGGGTCTATATTCCCGTTCGAACGGCCTGTTACTGCATCTTAAGATGAGTGAAACGTGCCATATCAAGGTAATAATAATAATAATAATAACGCACCGCTATCAAAAAGACAGCATTTTGTGTGCAATGTTCTGTAGTCTCTTCGTAAATATAACTTCAGAGTTACAAAGTGTATACGCAATGCTAATGTATTTTCTGGTCTCATAAACTACTCAAATAGCAATTACAGTTCTTGGGATAGGAAGTGAAGCTCGTGATAAATATTAACAAACAGTATTACTTGCGAAAACGTGCATCAGTTACTTCCAACAAGTATCATTACAAACACAAAATCAAGCTAAAAATTATCATACCGATTCAAAGTAATAACATATTCTTAAGTATATCAAAAAATTAAGTGATAATACGGAATTCTGAACACCAGATAAAGACAACCTGACTACGAGTACGACAACATAAATCATGCTGCACAGACATCTAAACATGATGTCGCGGGTCGGAACATCTGAAAACTTCCCGAAACAAACAACTAAGGCACTTGAGTCAAATGTCTATTTTCAAAAATTACTTTGGCTTAAGTGTTCGTTTTGTCCTGTCCACAGATGTGCGAACTCTGCGACTAACCCTCTCACAGTCTGGACAACATTGCGAACAGAGTCATGAAACTGAAACCGTTATGGAGTTAAATGAGTCAGCCAACAATGGAGCATGCCCCTCGCTGGCAGTCTCGGTTTCCCTTTCAGCCAGATTCCTTATCAGGGTTCATATTTCTTGCAATGACTTGGCTCAATTCTTTGATACTAATTACTTTCCACTCTCCGAGTTGAATTACCTACACGGAACAGAAACACGCGGAGATAACGGAGGCCCCTCGATACGTTCTTGCTTTCTTTAGGGAGTTCTTTTATTAAAGCGAAACGACGGTCGCTTCCAGATGTTCCGGCGGGAGGGTCTCTACTGTACAACAGCAAACTGCGGGAGGGCTACTGCAGATGTACCTGAATGGTATCTCTTCTCGTTGTGAGTGACGCGGCGTTGAGTACGGCGGGGACGGGGCTGCTGGCGCCCCCCAGGAGCAGGAGCTGTAGAACACGGATAACAACAATCGTATCTCAGTATACTGGAAGGAAGAGATAGCTCCTTATCCACATACTCATCCAGAAAGACAAATAGGCCCTCATGATTGCCAATAAAGTGATAGGCACACCAGTCATTCCTGCAGGATTTCCAAATAAAACAGGAAAAAGCATAACGCGGAAAATATGAGTTGCGATTCACTTGTACATAAATATCCAATTCCGTGGAGCTCTCTTGAAACGCTAACAGCTGCTTAGCTTGTCAACATATTCCCCGCTTTTTTAGAATCCGCAGATCCATTACAGCGTTTACAAGAGTCTGCCACTTGAGCTTGTTTTTAGCAGAGCGAATGGAGTCTACAAGTTCACAGCCCATTTCTACACAAACCATGTACGTCTAATTTTCCTAAATTCTCTCTTCCCTCTCAGGTCTACTGCACTTTTCTAAACACTTCCAAATGGTACAACCCCCTCATTGGATCACCTCAATAACACATAACGAAGAGCACAAATGCAGTTCCCCGTTGTAGTCCTGTTTCTAAGGCATTACTGTCTGTACATGCCACGCATTTCATCAGGCGAACACTGTCCTAATACGCTACAGTAAACACTAAAACTTCTCTTGATACTAGAAGAAGAATGCGACGGACGGACTGACGACAGAACGTGTCTGAACACCATGCCTATCCATCACAACACGTAACAGACAGAAAGATACCCCGAAATAATGTTCATATCTTGAGAACTACTGGATCTATTATGATCTTCCTTAGTCTGTATTCTTAGCTTCCTTTATTCTACTATCTAATGACGCATTTCAGCTGCACTGGCTACAGAGTTGAAATGAAGTAAGACCGTGAAGTAACTATCATTAGGTACTTCGAGGGTGCAAGTTTTGAATGGGCATTAACTGAACGAACAAAAACAATTAAAAAAACATTTAACTGCACAGGTACTACCACACCATCGACTCGGATGGAATGATGATTATGAATGGCTAGGTTGATGTCACAAACAGGTACGGTTTTGGCTATTTGGAGGCAGGAATATTATCACAGCATTCAGCCTCATCAACCGTCAACCCAACTGACAAGATTGTTGAAAGAAGCGGTCGCAGTCTAGGCAAGGTAACGCCACAGCATTTGCCTGCAGGAACTGGGTGGATTTGAAACGCGTCAGGCCAGATGGCCGGCCTCTTGGACAAGAACGAAGAAGCAATGCAAACCACTAGACCTCGACGTACGTGAATACTGTCAGAGTCTAATCTACTCATGAGGGCTCGTGGTCCAACAAACCGGAATTGTTAGTAACCATTTAAAATAAACCCATTTTCTATTATACGTATTATACGTAATTCTGAGCCGGGATAGCTCAGTCGGTATAGCGACTGGCTACAGGCTGGACGACCGGGTGGTCGGAGCTCGAGGCCCGGTAAGATCAAGAATTTTCTCTTCTCCACTTCGTCCAGACCGGCTCTGGGGTTACCCAGCCTACTATCCAAAGGGTACCAGGGACATTTTTCCCAGGGATAAAGCGGCCGGAGCGTGAAGCTGACCACTCACCACCAACTAATGTAGAGGTTAAGAAAACGTGGATCTATACACCTTCCCATACGTCATGTCGTAGTGCTTAATTAGTTAAGCACAGGGACAGCTTTACCTTTACCAGGGCTTACGTTAGAGAAACAAATGCCATTACAAACGACGATAAAACTGGCACACGTTACTGGAGGCTATCGTAAATTTCACCTGCAACAGAGGAGCGAAATGTCTATAGAATATCCACGATACCCTGACGTAACTGACGCTTCGGAGCAAAGACAAGATGTTACAGGAAGAATTCACGATATATTCTTTCCTTGAAACCGTTCTATCTCTGTATACATACTCCTTCAATTCTACTTTTTCCAAGGTCTGTAAAGCATGTGAATATACTTAGTGATGTACTCTGTGAATGAATCACTCTAGTTCGGATGGAAATAACGTTTATTTTGTCAGATAAGGAATAAACATTTCTGATCCTGCCAATACTTGCAATTGCCACACAAGAAAGTTCCATACTGTGAATATAGGTTTGATTAAGATCTCTCCCCACACCAAATTTCATTAACCATTGCTACCAAAACGAATTAATAACATTTTCAGGCGGAAGCCATATTCTTGTATTGTTATATTTTTGTTTGTTTTTTTTTCCTTGGCACTACAGCCCCAGTGGGCCTAGGCCTTCCACCATGAACTTCACTGTTCACTTCGGTTTTCCTAGATCTTACACATTCGGTAGGACTCCTTGGGCGGGTAATCAGCTCGTCGCAAGGCCTCTACCTGTACACAAACAGAA